GTCTTGGCTACAATCTGGCGGATCTGGTTCAAAGTTTTCACCATCAGGCTCTTCTTCAAATTCAGAGCTTGAGTAGCCATCGCCTGGCCATGGTGGTACCTCATAATCAGCCTCCTAATCAGAAAAGTTTAAACTTTCGTTTCTTTGGCTCCATGAGTCTTCTTCGGCTATGTAAGAGACTACTTCTTCATACTCCATATTCCTCTGATTTTAAAGTTGTGCCTCGCCAAAAGAGAAACAAGAGAAAGCTCAGAATCGTGATTCAATAGTTGTCAAGGTATATTGGCAATATTGAAAACTGGATCGGAGAGAAAGGAAACAAACTCTGATAGGAATATTTTCAAATTTTATTGGTTTATTGTTCTAAATAAATGGAAATAACTTAAACCAAATTTTTTTTTTTGACTAAATAAGTTTCGAAAATCAATCTAACAAAGAAAAGAAAATTCTTTTTATGTGGTTTTCTGGTTTATAAAATGAATTAAACAATTAAATACAAAATTAGGAATTTTTTTACTATATTTTTTTTTAGGTTTTCAAAAGTTGCAAGAAAATACAAGACAAAGATAAGAAAAGTTTTTTTATGGTTTAATAAACACACAAATAAATGGAAACAAGACAAATTTTTTATGGTTTTTGATTTCTATGAATTGAAATAAAACAAGGGTTGGCTGCCGAAAACCCTCAAACTATACGATTTCTGCCTAAATCCATCTATATTATTTACCTTTGTACCCCCCCCCCCCCCCCCCCCCCCCCCCCCCCCCCCCCCCTCCCCCCCCCGGACTATTCTAATTGTGTCTATTCTCCCATATCTAATAAGAACTAATTAGATATTTATCCGCGCTATGCTGCGGGATATTTTTTAAAATTTTGTATAAATTTTTAATATAATAAAATTATTTTTATAATGTAAATGAGTATTATATTTTTTATTAGCTTAAGTTATGTATTTATATGTTTTAAATCTGAATAAATATTATATATTTTTTATTTTTATTTTATTTTTCAAAATGACAATTGGCTATTAAATTTAGTTAGCTAACTAATTATAAATGTATATATAGGAATAAAATATATAACAATAAAGCAATATATTTTTAGTACTTTCATGCTAATGGTAAATGTAATCTATTTTCTCCAATTAATTACCACATGATCCTCTTTTGTAACTGTATAAAGCAAAATGTCATTTAAAAAAAAAGATTTATTAATTAATATGATTATTTTAAATTATAAAATTTATTTATTTATCAAATATTTTATTATAAACATATGTTTCTAAAACTACCAAACTATAATCAATAACATTTATATCAAAACTATTGCTATTGCTTTAGAACTAAATTGAAAAATTATGTTTGAACTTTTAAAATATCATTTTAGTTAAAGTTAAATAACTAAATTTTGGTTAATGTAAACATACTTTAACTTGGAAATTTAGCACAGAGAAATTTCATCTTCTTACAAAAATCGAGAAATCGCATTTTCCGTAAAAAAAAAAACTTTATTTTCCCATTAAACTGAGAAATCGGTTATTCCCGCCAAAACCAAAAAAATTCATTTTCTCGTCAAACCTAAAACCTAAAATTTCATTTTTCCGCGAGAACCTGTGTTTTTTTCACCAAAGCCGAGAAATTACGTTTTTTCACAAAAACCAAAAAAATTCATCTTCGTGCAAAAACCAAAAAAAAAATTGTATTTTCCCGCCAAAATCGAAAAATTTATTTTTCCTGTGAAAACTGAGAAATCATCTATTCATGCCAAAACAAAAAAAAAATATTTTCTCGTCAAGCCCAGAATCACGCATTCCTACAAAAACAAATAAACTACAATTTTCTGCAAAAACCAAAAATTGCATTATCTACCGTAAAATTGTGTTTTCTCGCGAAAATTAAGAAATGTATATATAGGAATAAAATATATAACAATAAAGCTATATATTTTTAGTACTTTCATGCTAATGTCAAATATAATCTATTTTCTCCAATTAATTACCACATGATCCTCCTTTGTAACTGTATAAAGCAAAATGTCATTTAAAAAAAAGATTTATTAATTAATATGATTATTTTGAATTATAAAATTTATTTATTTATCAAATATTTTATTATAAACATATGTTTCTAAAACTACCAAACTATAATCAATAACATTTATATCAAAACCATTGCTATTGCTTTAGAACTAAATTGAAAAATTATGTTTGAACTTTTAAAATATCGTTTTAGTTAAAGTTAAATAACTAAATTTTGGTTAATGTAAACATACTTTAACTTGGAAATTTAGCACAGAGAAAATTCATCTTCTTACAAAAATCGAGAAATCGCATTTTCCGTAAAAAAAAAACTTTACTTTCCCATTAAACTGAGAAATCGGTTATTCCCGCCAAAACTAAAAAAATTCATTTTCTCGTCAAACATAAAACCTAAAATTTCATTTTTCCGCGAGAACCTGTGTTTTTTCACCAAAGCCGAGAAATTACGTTTTTTCACAAAAACCAAAAAAATTCATCTTCATGCAAAAACCAAAAAAAAACTTGTATTTTCCCGCCAAAATCGAAAATTTTATTTTTCCTATGAAAATTGAGAAATCATCTATTCATGCCAAAACAAAAAAAAAACATTTTCTCGTCAAGCTCAGAATCACGCTTTCCTACAAAAACAAATAAACTACAATTTCCTGCGAAAACCAAAAATTGCATTATCTCCCGTAAAATTGTGTTTTCTCACGAAAATTAAGAAATTATTATGTTTTTATCAGTTCAAACTTTTGCTTTGTTGTCATGGAAGCATAGTTGATGTTGAGCCTATAATTTTTCAATCATATACGTCTATGTCAAACAAACAGATAGCTAGAATTTTTTTATTTTTTTATTTATTGTTATTTATTATTTGGATTTGGTTTTGGCAAAAAAAGAAAACAATGATTTAATTTTTTAATTTTTTTTTTATTATTTAGGTTTGGATTTGGCAAAAAATAAAATAATAATTTTTTATTTACTGTTATTAATTATTTGGACTTGAGTTTGGTAAAAAATAAAACAAAAATTAATAGAAAAAATATTTGGGTTTTTATTGGGTTTAAGTTTAAAAATTAAAATAAGTAGATGAGATGTATTAATAAAATATTTTGATTGGTGATTATTTTTGCTGAGGTGTCATGTTTATAAAACTTAAAAAAAGCTGAGGTGTCAAGCCATGGAGAGACTTTAGTATTATTGTTGTGTTGATTTATAAAATCACGATTAAAACCTTAAATCATATTTTGAAAACAGTGATTGCTCAAATCAACTACTCTGACCCGACGACTTAACACCAGACCCGTGAATCTAAACCTGACCCGAGTATCTTTAGTTCTCTTATTCTCTCTCTCTCTCGATCAAACCCGTAAAATCGATTTGGAGAAAAAACTTTTTAGGGTTTTTAGTCTGAAAATCGAATTGGAAAATATCGAATTGGAGAATATCCAATTTAGGTTTGTCAATCTGTTAACTGAGAAAGGCATCGAAGAAAGATGGGTTAAAGATTCATCACTGGTGTTCATATTCTGGGTGGTTGCCTCAAACGTTAACAACAAGAACCTTGAGGAGATCATATCCTATAGGAACCGTAAGCATATGGTCAAACCACTCAACTCCACCCCAAATTTTGCAGTTTCCGCGCCTTTCAAGAGCAATCTCTGCACACTAAACCTTCTTCACGCCACTAGAGGTCAAATTCTCGTCCCACAGAACCGCCATGTTACCACCATAACCAATCAATCTAACAGAAACACAACGAGGGAACTCAGGCAGTCCCACCAAACCCAATACACGTCTCCACATGTTCACTTTAGTGTCATACCATAGGAGTGCTCCGTCATAAACAGAGTACTCAACATTTGCTATCTCGCAGTAAAAGTCCGAAAACATACGAGCGCTTCGTTCAGCCATGTTCCATTTTCCTTCGTCGGAGCTGTAACCAAACACTCCTTCCTCAGTCCTGACGTGAAACTCTCCGTCAATACATGCGCTTCTCGAGTATAGAAAGGAGCTTTTTACCTCGCTGCAAGGGACAGACTCCCATGTTTGTGTTCTTGTGTCCAACACCTGGAACGAGTTCTTCTTCTTCTTCAAGGATTCGCTTTGGATTCCCGCTACGTAAATCTTTCGATCGATGACGGTTGCAGAGAGGGACATTAGCTCCACCTTCATGCTCGGAGCCTCGTGCCACGAGTGAGACACACAGTCCAGAACACTGACGCTAGAGGATGGCTCATGGTAGTAGCGGGATCCGGATCCGGATCCGATGTTGTAGATATCAGAACCAACCGAAACAAGACCAAAGATCCATGCACGAGGAGAATCGAGGATTGGGACTTTGACCAAAACATACCCACTTGGCTTCTTCTTACTCTCACTGGTGTGATTGCGGTTGCTTAGGGTTTGGTTAGGTTTCCGGCAGAGGGTGTACCAGGAAGGACCCTTAGCAGTAAAGTCTGATTGTATGTACAGATAGAGACATCTCTCGGTGCGGCCCAAGAGTGATCGAGCCTTGTAAAGCTCCGGTGAAGCGATGAGAGATCGGAAGCTCTTCGAGACGAGTGAGAGAGTCGGATAGCTCATTCTTGAGACGCGTGCGGTGCAGTTAAGTACCAAATCATAGGGAAGCGACGGAATAGGGTTTGATTGCGGCGTCGTCGACGGCTCCTCCATCTTCTTTACCGGGGAAGCTTCTTTTTTTTTTAATTTTCTTCTCCCAAAAGCTTTTTTTTAACCACAAACGTAGGTTTTTAATTTGGTTTAGGTTTATTCTATCCGATTCGGTTTAGCTCAATTTGTTATCCTAAAGTTTGAAAGAGACGGAATCGCCTTTTTTAGGTTAGGCTGTTCTTCCGGTTTAATTTGGTTCATTCGATTCCGTTCGGTTTAGCTCAATTAGTTGTCCTCGCAAATTATTTGGGCCCAGGCCTATGTTTTAAAGCCCAGTAAATTTCTCAAGAAATTTTATCAATGTTGATTAAAATATATGCGGAAACAAAGTGAAGCAGAAGCGAAGGGCATAGATAAAGGATCTGTGTTTTCTTGAATTGAATCTTCAAAGAAGCTCTTACGAACTCTCTGAAACAAAGATGCAGGTATGTTTTCTCTAATTCGAAACCATGGCTTTTCTTCTATCTCCAAAATCGAAACTGTAAATATAATCGCAAGGAGGAAATACCCTAATCTCTGAAATTATCTTCTCGATGCCGACCCTGAGCTTTAACAGAGTTTCTTGAAGATTAGATTGAGAAATAGCTGAAATCTCGTTAGGTTTTTTTTAGCATCGTATTTCGCAATCTTGTTTATGATTTCACTTTTTTTTATATTTTTTGTATGTGTGGTTTTGTGCAGGCAAGTGATAGGTTTAACATCAACTCTCAGCTTGAGCATCTTCAAGCTAAATATGTTGGTACTGGTCATGCTGATCTGAGCAGATTGTGAGTTTTTTTCTTTCTCTACTCTCTTTTTGTTTTGTCATTCGATTTCAGGGGTCTTCTTAATTGTGGACTAAATTGAAATTGTCTAATATTTTGTTTTCTAGTGAATGGGGTGTGAACATTCAGCGTGATAGCTATGCTTCGTACATTGGTCACTACCCGATGCTTGCTTACTTTGCAATCGCTGAGAACGAATCCATTGGACGAGAACGCTACAATTTCATGCAGGTTTGCTTCTTCTTCTTTTTCTCTGGACTTACCTTACGCTATAATCAGAATATAAACAAGATTGTATCTCTGCATTATGTAGAATATATATCCGTTGCTTTGTTCTCTTCACTTTCCTTTTGACTTTCAAGATTCATTGGTTTTGTTTTATAGCTTCTATCAAAGTTTATCCGTCTCTAGAAGGGATCAGGGCTATAGAAATCGTTTATGTGTCACACCAAGATTTGCAACTGAGTTTACTAGTTTGAGTAACAGAACAAAGGAATATTAGAATTTTTGAGTTTAATTTTAACAAGTTCATGTTTGATTCATAATAATGGCTAGTTCATGTTCTTTTCCCTTCGGCATTTAACACCAACCTTCTTTGATTTTGCAGAAAATGCTTCTACCTTGTGGCCTTCCTCCAGAAAGAGAAGAAGACTAAAAGAGCTTGCAAGTGTTGTGGCAACTGGAATCAGAAAACAAGTTTATCTTTCTGCTTGTTAGGAACAAATCTCTTATGAATTGTTGTTGTATTGAACCAATAAACCCCTCTCTCAATTTTCTTCTTGTGCAAACAAATTGGTCTTTAACACAATGAAAAAAAAATCACTATGTTTTTTACATGATCAAGCTCTTATTGTTCATCTAATACTCTTACAAAACCTTATAACTTGCAAAATTCGGAAGTTAGATAAAACCGTTATGTGGAAGTTAAAAGTTGAGAGTTTGAAAAAGATAAAAATCAAACCTTTGTGCTTGCAAATGGTGAATCCCTGAGGAGAAGAACAACACATTCATTCGTAAGATGAGTTCATCAAAAACCCTAATCAAAACCCTGATCAAGAACCCGACTCGCATCAGATCCAAATACCAAGCGAAGCAGCTTCACGCACAGTTCATCAGAACACAATCCCTCTCACACACATCTGCTTCCATCGTGATCTCAATCTACGCGAACCTCAGACTCTTGCACGAGGCGTTGCTTCTTTTCCACACGCTCGAGTCTCCTCCTGTTCTCGCATGGAAGTCAGTCATCAGATGCTTCACCGACCAGTCTCTCTTCTCCCGCGCGCTGGCTTCGTTCGTCGAAATGCGAGCTTCTGGGAGATGCCCAGATCACAACGTTTTCCCTTCTGTGCTGAAATCGTGTACGATGATGACGGATTTGAGATTGGGTGAGTCTGTTCATGGGTGTATCGTCAGGCTTGGCATGGATTGCGATTTGTACACTTGCAATGCCCTCATGAATATGTATGCTAAGCTTCTGGGTATGAATTCAAAGATTGGTGTGTGTAAAGTGTTCGACGAAATGCCTCAAAGAAAGCCTAGTTCTGATGATAACGAGAAAAGTTCACATTTTGAAGAGAGTTCAGGTTCGTATTGTGTACCCAGTGAACCCGTTGAGCGTGTTATGAACTGTAGCGAAGATTATAATGGAAATTTTCCTTTAGGCATAGATAGTGTGAGGAAAGTTTTTGAATTGATGCCTAGAAAAGATGTTGTTTCCTGGAACACTGTCGTTGCAGGGTATGCACAAAGTGGGATGCATGAAGATGCTTTGAGTATGGTTAGGGAGATGGGAAGTAATGAGTTAAGCCCTGATGCTTTCACCTTGTCTAGTGTTCTTCCGATATTCTCTGAGTATGTCGATGTTAATAAAGGAAAAGAGATTCATGGGTATGTGATTAGGAAAGGGATTGATGCTGATGTATATATTGGGAGTAGCTTGGTCGATATGTATGCGAAGAGTGGCCGGATCGAAGACTCGGTGAGAGTGTTTTCTCGCCTGACTCGTCGAGATAGTATCTCGTGGAACTCGCTTGTAGCCGGGTATGTACAGAACGGTAGATACAACGAGGCTATGAAACTGTTCAGGGGAATGGTGACCGCAAAGGTTAGGCCAGGACCTGTGTCATTATCGAGTGTGTTGCCTGCTTGTGCTCACCTATCAACCTTGCACCTCGGGAAACAGCTTCATGGGTATGTATTAAGAGGTGGCTATAGCGATAACATATTCGTAGCTAGTGCGCTTGTGGATATGTACTCGAAATGCGGGAATATCAAGGCTGCTAGGAAGATTTTCGACAGGATGAATGTACACGACGAGGTTTCATGGACGGCTATCATAATGGGGCATGCGTTACATGGTCATGGTCATGAAGCCGTTTCTTTGTTTGAGGAGATGAAACTGCGAGCAGTGAGACCGAACCATGTGGCGTTTCTTGCTGTACTGACTGCTTGTAGTCACGTTGGGTTGGTTGATGAGGCTTGGGGGTATTTCTTGAGCATGACCGAGGTTTATGGGTTAAACCAGGAGTTAGAACACTACGCAGCTGTAGCTGATCTTCTAGGCCGAGCAGGGAAACTTGAAGAAGCGTACGATTTCATCTCAAAGATGAGTGTTGAGCCCACGGGTAGCGTCTGGTCTACGTTATTGTCTTCTTGCAGCATTCACAAGAATCTTGAGCTAGCGGAGAAAGTAGCTGAGAAGATTTTCGATGTTGATTCCGAAAACATGGGAGCTTATGTTCTGATGTGCAATATGTACGCGTCTAATGGGAGATGGAAAGAGATGGCGAAGCTGAGATTGAGAATGAGGAAGAAAGGGCTGAGGAAAAAGCCAGCTTGTAGCTGGATCGAGTTCAAGAACAAGACTCATGGGTTTGTTTCAGGAGATAGATCGCATCCGAGTATGGAGAGAATCAACGAGTTTCTTGAAGCTGTGATGGAACAGATGGAGAAAGAAGGGTATGTCGCAGACACAAGCGGGGTGCTTCACGATGTAGACGAGGAGCATAAGAGAGAGCTTTTGTTTGGACACAGCGAGAGATTGGCTATTGCGTTTGGTATCATCAACACAGAGCCTGGCACGACGATTAGGGTCACTAAGAACATAAGGATATGCAGTGATTGTCATGTAGCGATCAAGTTTATCTCGAAGATCACTGAAAGAGAGATTATCGTTAGGGATAATAGCAGATTCCACCATTTCAACCATGGAACCTGTTCTTGTGGAGACTATTGGTGATGGAAGTCTAAAACTTCTTTTACTTCAGAACGACGTCGCATAGGCAGGGACATGTTTTCATTACACTGATTGTTGTGTACTAGCAAATCAATAGAAACAATTTATTATATGTTTTTACGATCGACTCTTCTATACAGATAGGGAGAAATTATTTTAATCGTTTTGTGAATATAAAACTAAAGAACATTGTTTCTCAAATGCAAAGCGGATTTTTGCATGGTTTTTATATTTATTTGATAAATAATAAATGGAATGTTTTGGACATAAATAGATGATCTGTTGTGTAAACGGCAACAACAGACAGAAGGTGACCTTACATTCACATTATTTATCATTTTGCCCATATAGTAGTCCATAGCCATAGGATCCCTTTTTTGCCACAACCAACATGTAGTGGAAAGTCGACTGATCATTTATAATATATGTTTTCGTAAATATATAAAAGAAATAATTGATTGTAATGTAGATTGGTATCATATTTTGATTGTACACTTTTTACCGCAATAGTAAAAGAATTACCACCAATCCAAACTATTAATGTTTTGTATTTGGAAACTGTGTGATTTCTCGATCACTTGCAGACAGAAATCTTTTTTTTTTTTTGTCGATGATTCGTTTTGTCGCGATTCTTGCAATTAATGTTTGTTTGTTCTTTGCTATTTTATGATTTTTAACATTTTTTCAAATGGTGCTTATGTAATGTAACAATTAACCCTGAATTTAACTTCTTGTAGTAAATTATTTGGGAATAAATTAAGATAAAATTAGTTGTTTCATCAAAAGAGTTTGCGTTTTGGGAGTCGGTAGAACCAATCTTTACTTTGCTTCTAGTTTTGTTGTCTTCTCTTTGCTTGGCTTTCTATCGATCGTCATAATTTGGGAAATTTTATAAATAAAGCACGACGACAAAAAAAAACATTAAAGAAGCTTGGACAGGACAGCTATGAATATTAAATTCAAAAACATTAAAGAAACGAAGAAAACTCAATATTGAATGCGAATTAAAAAATAATAAATTATTATTACTTTTCTCTTCTTTTTTTTAATATTAATTAATAAACAATTTCTCGTTTATTATCCGTTCCCCGTGAGTCCGTGACGAAAAATATTATTAAAATAATAAAATAATAATACAAAGGAGTAAAAGAAGATTTTCAGAATTTCAGATGATATTATATTATTTATCATCATATCCGTCAAAGCCGTCTTCTTTCGTCTTCTCTTCATCAGTCGGTCATCGCCCAGTTTTTTTCTTTCTTTCTCTCTTTTCTTCAACAATCTCCAGGAAAACTAAAAGTTTCTGGATTACTTCGTCTCTCACTTCATCTTTAATATAGCAAATTGGATTTTTTTGTTTATTCTGCCAAAATTGAGAATAATTTGTATAGACGAGAGTGTTATTTTGAAGTAACCACCGCTGCTGAATCGGATTCTACACGTCTTATATCGGAAATCGAACGATGGATCATGTAATCGGCGGAAAATTCAAGTTGAGTAGGAAGATCGGTAGTGGATCATTCGGTGAAATTTATATAGGTATGATTTCATCAAAATTGACATTTTTTTTTTAATTTTGTTATTTCGTATTTGTTATAGTTAAAAATCTGACAGTAGTTTTGATCTTTGGTGTGCATTAATTTTTCAAAGGGATTAATGTTCAAACTGGAGAAGAAGTTGCTGTTAAACTGGTATGTTAAAACGCTTTATTTGATTTGTATTACCCTATGGTTTCTGCTTAATCTCCTCAATTAAATGTGTAATGTGATGGATATGTGTTTTGAATACTGAATCTTGAAACTTGAAAAGTCTCTGTATTTTGTATATAAGTTATGGTAACTCTCATGTTCTTGATTTCTGTTGAGACTAGTTTTTATTAAATATCAAAATTTGTATTTTTAAAGGAACCTGTGAAGACGAAGCATCCACAACTTCACTATGAATCAAAAGTATACATGCTTCTTCAAGGAGGGAGTGAGTTTCCTCTTTCATGAGCTCATTTCTCTGAAGTTTTCTGCTTTCATGGAATCTGAACTCTTTTGTCTTCTTTTTTTTTTACCAGCGGGTGTTCCTCATCTCAAATGGTTCGGTGTAGAAGGTGAATACAACTGCATGGCCATTGATCTTCTTGGTCCAAGCTTAGAAGACTTGTTCAATTACTGCACTCGGAAGTTTTCTTTGAAAACTGTTCTAATGATTGCTGATCAATTAGTAAGTATGCCCCTTTTGATATATCATGTCTTTCAAGAACTAAATTGTTCTGAGAGATCATTTTTACTAAACTTCTTGTTTTTTTCATTGTTCCTGTATAAGATCAACAGAGTTGAGTTCATGCATACAAGAGGATTCCTTCACCGTGATATTAAACCGGACAACTTTTTGATGGGTCTCGGTCGTAAAGCAAACCAGGTTTGGATTCTCTGGTTTTGCGGCTTGTTTTAGTTAGAACGTTGATGTGTGTATATTTTTGAAAGTGATCTTAACGAATTATATTTCAAACCTTAAGGTGTATATCATCGATTATGGGCTTGCTAAAAAGTATAGAGATCTTCAGACACATAAGCATATACCATACAGGTGGGATCTATTTCTATAGATGCTTTGCTTGGAGATTTCCTTTATGCACTCTTCTTTTGCTTCGCAAGAGTTTGATTGAGATTTTTCATAGGGAAAATAAGAATCTAACAGGAACTGCTCGATATACAAGTGTCAACACACACCTTGGGATTGGTGAGAACTGTTTGAAACACATTAGAATGGCTTTCATTTTCATAGTAAAGCATTAACTCCTAGATATAAACTCTTTTCGTTCAATGTAGAGCAAAGTAGAAGAGATGATCTGGAGTCGCTTGGTTATGTGCTGATGTATTTTATACGAGGAAGGTAGGAAACTATCTTGGTTTGTTTATTATTAGAGAAAGAATCATGAATTCCTGTCTCAGTTTACCTTGGCAAGGTCTAAAAGCTGGTACCAAGAAACAGAAATACGACAAGATTAGTGAAAGGAAGATGCTTACTCCTGTAGAGGTACGTCGTTGTGTCTATAATAGTGTTTTGTAAAATGAAATCAAGTTTTAGCATTTCTTTTAAGTTTTCACTATTTGCAGGTTCTTTGCAAGTCATTTCCGTCGGAGTTCACGTCGTATTTCCATTACTGCCGATCATTGAGGTTTGAGGACAAACCAGATTATTCATATCTGAAAAGACTCTTCAGGGACCTTTTTATTCGGGAAGGTTAGAGACTCTCTACTATAATGTTACTTATTGTTTTTGCGGTTATATTGTTCGTTAAGAAATATTTATGTGGGTTATGTCACTTGTTAATGCATTCAGGTTATCAGTTCGACTATGTGTTTGATTGGACAATCTTGAAATATCCTCAAATGGCTTCAAGTTCGAGACCAAGGGTTAGTGTTTCCCGCTTCAATATGTGAAGTACGAACTGTTCGAAAACCGTAAATTACTCTTGACATCTCATATTTGGTACTATCTTGCACCAGCCAAATCCAAAACCAGCTCCAGACACTCCAGGACCATCTGCAGAAAGAAGTGAAAAGCCTACAGGTATGTCTTTGACTGCTCGTGGAATCTGATAATCAAATGCTGAGTCTTCTCTGTGATGAAAATTTCTCTGAATTTTGAGATAGTTATGTTTCTCTCCTTTAGAAGTTTGAAATCAAGATCTTGCATTGCATATACCGGAGATATTTTATGTTCAGATAGTTGAAGTCTTTAGCTCAGAAGATGATTTTCTGTTTTGTTCAGTGGGTCAAGATCTGCGAGAAAGATTCTCAGGTGCGGTCGAAGCATTCGCCAGACGAAATGTATCGAGTCCTGGCGTTCGCTCTTCCAAAGAAGTGGTTAGTTTCTTTATGTTCGTCTCTTCTATAGCCATACATCATCATCCAACGTGACTGATCTCTTATGTTCTTATGTTTGTTGTGACTATACAGCATGATTCTGTTGCCACGAAAAGAGCGGTTGTGTCGAGCAGCCGACCTGGCTCGTCAGGTGAGCTGAGCGAGAACCGCTCAAGTAGACTGTTCTCGAGCGGTGCACAAAAGATTCAACCGAGCCAAGAACCTAAGCCATCCGCAAGGCTTGGCCGTGATGACGCCCTGAGAAGCTTTGATATGCTTACTATTGGTTCCGGTAAGCGGAAATGAGTCACAGAAGAGGGGAACTTAGCAAGATTCTGTTTTAAATCATCTTTGTTGGGAAAAAAAAAGAGGAGAGAAAGTAAATCTGTCTCCCTCCTTTTATGTGTGTATATAGAATTTATTCATGTCATAAACTGGTATATGTAACTTGTAACAAAGTTGAAAGTTGGTCAAAATACTCAAACCCTATTAATAATTTTAAAAGTTCTCCTGAAGTATCTGAGCTGAAAAAATGGTTGCCCATTAGAATGTTTGGTCAGAAGTTGACATTTAAGTGAATTGTAGAGACAGAGAAGAAGAGAGAGCAAAATTCAATTTTGGAAAAAATAATTTGATGGGGACACTATGGTTTGGAGAAATCAAGAAACAAGCCTCTTTGTTTCTTCAGGACAAGTACAATGTTGCTAGACTTGTCCTCACCGATGTTACCGAAGCTGAGCTGTGAGTTTAAGACTAGAAACTTGACATTGGTGATTACTTAAAAAAGTCTTTAATATAAGAATTTGGTGTTTTTTCTTTTGGTAATTTCTTTAGGTTAGTAGAAGAAGTGACGAATGATGATCCTTCTTCTCCGGATGCTAAGACAATGAGTAAAATAGCTGAGGCATCGTTTGATACAGTGGATTATTGGAGAATTGTGGATGTTCTTCACAGAAAGTAAGTATGAATGGATAAATAAATAAACAAAATATACTTGTTATGTTTCTGGTGGTGATTATATTACTAATTAACAGGATTAAAAACAGATTAGGGAAAGGAGAAGGAGAGATGAAGAAGTGGAGAGAAGCTTACAAGGCAATGGTGTTGTTGGAGTTCTTATTAACACATGGTCCTCTTCATTTGCCTCATGATTTTCTCTACGACTTGGATCATATTCGTTTCCTCTCTACTTTTCATTACGTTGACGATAAAGGGTAACTAAATTTACAAATATATAAATTTATTTTTAGGGGGAAATATGTTACGTAGTTCAATTTAAAAACAAACGGTTAGCAATGAAAACGAAAAGTCATAAGTTTTGTAATTAATATTTGGATTTTTCTTTTGTACTTATTAACATTTTAAAAGAAAATTTAACCATTTTAATATTTCTCTTTAACAAAAACAAACTCTCAAGTCTTAACTGCTGTTTGACCAAAAAATTCAAAATCCGCTTCGATAAAACGGTAGTTACTAATTGGAGGCATTAACAAAATTAGAAAATTACTATGTTGATCTATTAAAAAGAGCCAAAAAAAAAAATTAAAAGAATTTCTCGTTATAGTTTTTGTTTTTCCTTCTATTAATATATTTTTAACAATGTTTTCTAATTTTTTAATGAACTTTTCATAAGATTTGATTGGGGAGCTCAAGTACAGAAGAAGGCGCATCAGATTCAAACACTTCTTCTAGGGAAAGAAGAGCTTCGAGAAGCTCGTCTTAAAGCTCTCAAAATCACTTCACAAATCAATGGATTCGGAAACTCCAACATCTTCTCTCCTTCGTCGGTCTCTTTCTCTCCCCGGAACCGGAAATTCTCCGATTTGACACCAACCGTGAGAGACGATACTGTTTCCGAGTCCGATTCGTTGATCGGCGATGACGAAGACGAGAGGAATCGAGCCGCCGGTGAGGAGACGCTGATCGGCGGAATCTGCTCTAAGCTCGCCGGATTTAGCCCTTTAAAGAAGCTTCACGGCGGTCCTACGGCGGCGGGATTTCATACTTTGTCGAACGTTGACAGAGTTTCCAGTGAATGTTACGATCGCCGGAATTCTATCGGCTACTGATTAAAAAAACGGTTCGGGTTTTGATATATTACATTAACCGGAATTTCGGTCACGGTACAAATACTCGGTTTAGTCAAACCTAATCACAACACAAGAGATTTCGCTTTTGCTAATCCTGTTTAAGGCTTCTTTGGCTAAGCATTTTGCAGCTTCCTGTGGATCTTCGATGTGTCTGATTAAGTTAATCGCTTCTTGATTCTTCATCACCTGCACAAAAATCAAAACCCATGAACAAATGTTGTTTACTGATTAATGTATGTATTTTGATTAATCTTATGTTTTTTTGTTTTTATCTAACCTCCCAAATTCCAGAGCTTCCAATAATGATAAACTCTGTATCTGAATTAATCTTTTCTGTAACCAAAGCAAATTCTTGACTTCTTAGATCTGATTCATCTTCTGATTCTCCTTGATTACAAACTGTATTACAAATTGGGGGAAAAAAATTAAGAAGAGCTTTAGATCTCATCTCAAGATTGTCAACATTTCATGTTTCTTCTCACGCAAGTAACCTACAAATGAAAGCAAAGCTTGCACAAACCGGTCTGAACCGAATTTAACCAGCAAAATTTGGGATTGAAGAAACAAACCAGGGAAAACAATCTGTGACCAACGTTTTGTTGAAGATCTCCGGTTCTTATCTCTGATTTGATGAGCCTGACCGTCTCTGCAAACCACCACTCTATGGCCGCCGATACTGGCCATAATTAGCTTTTCTCCGTTCACCACCGCCGCCGAAGCCGCCGAGCCACCGCTTCTCTCTTCCTCGGCGTACGCTCTTCTCATCGTCTCTTTACACTTTCTCATAATCCCATGCTGCAATTTCCCTCCCAATTACTCATTTTAAAATGAAAAAAAAAAAATTCGGAATATATATATTTCGATTAAGGAATTTAAAAGAAACTTTAGTTACCTCATTGTTGAGCTTATCGAAGAGATGGCTCTGCATATATTTGACAATATCTTTCCCTGTTCCAGAATTCGAAGCTGCGAAGAACCAAATCTCGAGCTCTTCACTTTGCTGCTCTCTCTGTACGATAACCGAATCGGCATTCGATGAACGGTCGTTATAGCTTAACCGGTCGATGGTATAGTATCCGTGAGAAACCGGAGTTAACCATGATGGTTTCTTCTTCCCTCTCCGTCCCTCTCCATCTCCATCTACAAGTCGTTTAAACCGGAACGCCTGTTGGATTTGGTATTCTTGTTAAGACTACTTGCATTTTGTTTATAATAATCGAATGATATCTAAAAAGAATATAATTTTTTTTGAAATTCATCATCTTTAAAATGCAAAATTTAGTAATTTCATATAAACATACAATCTCTAACCTAAATAAAGGAAAAAAGAGATTACCTTATGCAGAGGAAAATCCCAGAAGCCCATTTTCACTCATTGCTCTCTTATTTGACTACTATCTTATAAAATGCAATAAGCTTTTGATAAAAACAAGAAAATTTTGTCGATTCTCACAATGAATAAAGAAGACAGCTTTTTCAATTGCAAGATTCACATTTTGCGTATTATAAAAGTCAATTAAGGTGCAAATTAACCAATTAAGGATGGAAAATCATAAACAATTAATTATAAGCATGTTTGTTGTGACCAATTTATTAGCATTTAGCAGTTTCTAATGAAAACTATAATTGTTTAGTCTTAAAAACGCTAATAGTAACGTACATTTTGGAATACATATGATTAATACTGAGACATTGAATTAAGCGTCGTCATATAGTAACGTACGCCTTTTTTCCTCATTCCGTTTATATTTCTTGGTTTGTTTTTGTTTAACTTTGACTACGTTTACGTTTCACCGTTGACTTAACGGTTTTCAAGTTTTTGCCATTCTTAGGTTCTAATTTGCTAAGCCCTTCAACAAAAAAAAGAAGTTACAATTGTTTTCAGGATCAGGCGGGGCATTTATGATTACGTGTCTGACCGGTCGGTTAGTACAGATATAAGTCTGGTGCAGCTAACGTGTCTCTCAAGTCATCGGATTTTCCATAAACTTCGAAACGAATATATTAACTTTGAAGAAGACGTCTTGGTCCAGAGTTGTGTCGGCGAAAGTCGCAAAACATACAAGTCTTATGGAGTAATAACACATATAAGAAGAAAGTCGCAAAACCTATAATAAGCATACTTGCGTTAGAGCAGATCCTTTCTATATTCTTGAGTCGCCTGTAAAAGAGAAGATGCTCTCTTCCTGTTAGTGTCTCCCAAAGAAAGCTGAAATCAAACATTAAAAGACAGTTGTTCCTCCTTTTTTTTTGCTTGATAATGAAACATAGTGTCAATAGTATATTGTTTTAAGAGTGTTTATTTACTCGTGTATACTTTGTTCATATCCTTTCACCTTGAACCAACGCAGTTCCAGATGCTGGTTTCAGGAGACCCGACATCTATCGCAACAGAAGGAGAAATTACAAAACTTTAACACTCGCGAAAAAACGTTGTTTAATGTAAGAGATCAAGTGGTTTTGAGAAACTGACCATATTGATGAAAGAGGTTTTGCCTGCACCATTGGGTCCAAGCATGCCAAAACACGATCGCATGCCCTGTGCTACCTTCATACTTCAGTTGCTCAACTTTCTCCCTCTGATTTTGTTCACTTTTTCTTTATCAGAACAACAATAGAAACAATTTCTGGTTTTGTTTTTCGTCATACCTCTTGAGTGACATCGGTTTTCTCCATGTCAATGAGGACGTCATCGTCAGAGCTTTGCCTCTCCAGGCTAGGACTTGTTAAAGAAGAATATTTATTGAGGAAGAAGAAAGGGGTTTCCCCGGATGAAGAAACATGATCAATTTGGTAGGCTACATTGAGAATCACAAGCCACTCCACTGACATTACGTAGAACAGTTTATCTATTCCGCTTTCATTGACATTCTCCCACGGAAAGCCTGGATACAACTCCAATGCAAGAATCCCTATATCTGTCAAGGTCAAAAATACTATAGTTAACATGTTTACTTGTTGTTCAAGGTATTTGATCTTGTGTAATTTAACTTACCAGGGAATGGGGAAGTTTCAAGCAGCTCCTCGAAGAGGGAGCTTCCCAAGAGCCCACTTCCAGACACCAAAATGTAAGCAACAACTATAATTAAACCCAAAAAAATAAAGTCAAGAGGTCGTTGAGATTTCACCCGAGGTAGGTAAAAAATCGATCAGATTCAAGAAATGTGATCATGTTAGAACCTGTCACAGTCTTAACCTTTGAGGATATCCAAGAAACTAAAAAGGCGAAAGAGATTTGCAGATTGATGAAGATAAAATAGAAAACGAACTGGATGCTATAGTCATTGGTCCGGAAATACTTGACTGACCCGAAGATGACCAATGAAACAACGCACGACAATGATATAGTAAGAAAATAGACATAGGAGATTCCTTTATAATTTTGTAATAAATGTGAGTCCTATCATGTGTATCTTTATTATGCTACATCTGTTTTTCAAAGAGTGTCATTTTTTCTTTTTCACACAAATTAAAAAAATATTAAAAATTCTATTTATCCGTTATAAATATATTAATAACATATCATTTTATTTAATACAGTAATTTAACAAGGTCAAAGCTGGATTTTATTTATCAAAATTGTATTGAAAATACAAAATGACATTCTTTTTAAAATAAAAATAATATTTTACAATGACTTCTTTTGTGAAATGGAGTGAATAGTTAATGATCAGTTTTCACGGGCATTTTTAGTAACTTAATATAGACATCATAAATACTACAAAGTATTTTTTTTATATTTAAAAAAAAATTGTCCAATCATCTTCTTCCTTTGATCATGGACTCTACAAGGAAGCTTGCCGCTTCTCCAGCAGCAGTTCACGACATTGTTCAGGAAAAATCTGCTGCTATCATGGAGGAACAAGAGAGCCACGTACGTGTCCTCAGCTCTTTTCTTCGTTCTTCATCTTTTCTTTTTATAAAAATTCTTCTTCATCTTTTTCATCTTCTATATCCAGAAAGTAATGAAGGCAAGTGACTTAACCTTGACGGCACACAAAAATGTAACCGATTTAAAAATATCTCTAACGGGAATCTCTAACAAAAAGTATCTAAACATTAAAGAAATGGAAAACTATGAAAAAAAGAGAGAGAGAAAAGAACGAGAAACGTCTCTCATTTGAAAACTTGTTACAAACGTTTATGGACATATGTTTCTATCTAATTTGTTCATTCTATCTATATAAAGTTTAATTATATAATTAAAATATAGTTTAGATACCCTTTGTGAAGGATTTATCATTGGAGATGAGCTAAAGATTTATCATTCAATTTCAGCTTGTGAGGTTAAGTTCTTCGTGAAACTTCCTTGTTACGCTTTCATTCAAGTTAAATTTAAAAGTATTAGGTATTTTCCCGCACCTTGTGCAGAGTTAGATTAATTTTTTTAAAAAGTATAACATTAGTTTATTTATAAATAAAGAAATCAGATTTTATAATGATTCGAAACCAAATTTAATATATTTGGAAAAATACAATCATTGTTTTTTGTGACAAAGTAAAATATATTATTTATATTTTATTTTTTAATATTTTTATATTATCCGATAAAAACTTATAAATATGCTTTATTGTTTTGTTGCATTTATCAAACATATTAAATAATTCTCTGATGTAAATTAGTAGATTAAGATTAATAAAATTCAAAGTTTGCATTAAAAAAAACATAACAATCCTAAATGACAAAAATCAAAGGATCATTGTTTCATATCAACTTAATATTAATTAATATATATAAAGTTTCAAAAAGGTGTAAATGTTTTAGAATTTTACTTCTGATCGCATAAATCAATTAAGTTAGTCAAAATATTAGTAGGTTAAACAATCAAATTATAATTAGTTTAATGAAATAATTAGGATTTTTATTTTATTTATTCTAGTTCCTTTTTTTAGTAAACTGTATATTTTAATGATATAAAATTGAATTTAGAAATCTATATTTAAAAAAAACGAAAATTAATTAATAATTAGATTATATTAATTTGTTAATTTCATTAAGGGTAATTAAAGTAAATTCATATAAGGGGCAAAAGGTAATCAACCATTATAACTTTCAAGCACAACCCAACTTGCTTCTCAATTAATAATATGATTTTATATAAATAGGATAAGAGTTACATTAACAGCCAGTAAATATTGTATAATTCGTGGCTGGAACAGGGGCGGACGCACATTGAGAGTTTGGTGGCACGTGCCCCATACTCATTTTTTATTTTTTTTTTATATACATTAGGTAAACTGTTAAACATAACTAAGTTTTTATTTATCCATTTGTTTGGATACAGTTAAAAGCAGGTTCAAAATTAAAAGCCCATTTGAAATTATAAATCAATAAAAAATTAATGATATTGTTTTGCTTTTTTACTTCTTGAATTAGCAACCATTTTAATTACTGCTTTAGAGCAAGCCCAATAAAGATATAATTAGTGTGGATCTTATTCATTAATTATTAATATTTTATATACTTTATGTATATAAGACACTTTGTAGTATTTTTTTGTTTTTTTTTGTCTTAAAAACAAACAAAAAAAATATATATATATATATATATTTTAATAAATTTAAGTAAAAAATTTGGTTAACAACTTTTAAAACATTATACATTTTCAAAAATGTAATACATGAAAACATATAAATTATAGAAGTACAATTCAGAAATTAGAATTTTCTATCGTCTACTCATAGCTTGCCATGTGTGCGTTTTTAATTTAGACAATGTATCTTAATTTTAAACACTCATCTAAAATATAAGACATCAGTCACCATTAAATGATTGTGAACATTACCTTACGTAATTAAATAAGCAATCAGTTTTTATATGATTATCTAGTTTGTCTTATTGAAAAATAACTATTTGATAATGTGACAAATTAAGTAGTAATAATAAAAAAATTTCAGAATATGGAAAATCGTAGAATAATTTTATAAGAGTTTTTTAGTTTCTAATTTTGTTTGATTATATATTTTTTTGTTATTTATACTTTATTTTTAATAATTTATTTATTAATTAAAATCTTAAATATGTGTCCCATACTAAATAAATTTCTGCATCCGGCCTCTGCGCACCATCAACCTCGGACGATATTAGTCTAGTCACCAACAATGTTAATATGAACATATAGATGATAGTATAGGACCTCATCATTATCTCTCTTTTTTCTCCTACTATATTTGTTTTCTTTCCTTGGAATCCTCACCAAACATTTGGTATATAAACGTTTTATAATCCTTATCACATCTTGCAATTATTATAATAAATTAGTCACACACAAAACACCATTAATTACACATTTACTAATTTGTAAGATTTAATATCATTTCAAAATTTAAAGAGAATGTTAAAATGAAAACAATAAAGAAAGTTAG